ATATATATATATAACGTTTTGAAACATGCGAATATTCTCCGACAAATTTGCTGCCAGAAATTTTCTTTTAAAGTTTATTACTTTGGATGTAATAAACTTCATAATAGCAAATAAAACTTGTATTATGATCAGGCAAAAAATTTAATCAGTGTAGTTAGTCGGAAAGTGGTTTAGATTGGCGTTAATGAGATGATAAATTCTGTCCCAAACGCTTAAGAAATAATCCAAATTCTTTCCTCACAGAGCTGTAATTATACTATTATGCGAACATTCTAGATAGTCAAAAAGTAATCGGAATTTTAAATGACACTCGTTGCACGAAGATATAACAACAAACTCTGCTGGCAGGAAATGTTTGAAACTTTCGTTGTCATCCGTCACAGATCATCAGTAAAGTACTCAAGTATGACGGAAAGTTTTCGAAATATTGACTGCAAGATTCCATATACACTAACACAAAAGCTAATTTATTTTAGCTAAGAAGAAAAATAAAATAAAAGTCTTTCTATTAAAAAGAAAATTTAATTAAATGTTAATAAATATCTTGCTAAAAATAAGAATAATAAAAGAAAACTATTACTAATCTCTTTCAAATTTATCAATAATTCAGTGTTTTAAATAAAATGTACTTTGCCTTAATATCCTGTTAATGTTGTTATTAATGTATCTTCAATTTAAGCATCGTATCTTACGAAGCAAAAAAAGAGAAATTAAAACAACAGCAATTAAATTAAACAATTAAAACACACTGCAAACTGAAACACACTGCAAACTGAAACACACTGCAAACTGAACCACCATGCAATTAAAACACGCTGCAAACGAAACGCTTCGAATGCGGAGGAAAAAAGTAAGATTTGAGGGAAACTTTGATAAAAACAGTAACCCTTTTCATTAAATTTTTATTTCGCACCCAAATTCATGATAATTTTTAAGCCTGTAACTTTTTACCTAAAGTTGAATAAAGAAAGAGAAATTTTAAAAAAATAGGAAGAAAATTGCGAAAAATTGGAAAAAATTGATAAAATCAACAGCTTATGACCAGCTTATCAAAAGCTTTGAGCACAAAGCAATAGCTTATAACTGATATTACGAGCATGAAACAATCGAATCAACGGAATTGAAATATAATATGACCCTTACACACAATTTAAATCGAAAAACAATAAAAGAATAGTGATATAATTTAGCTCATCTAGCTCAAACTCTCTGTCCTGGAGGCCAATTCTTTGCTGAGAAATAAAATAGACTAGACAAAATAACATCATATACTGAAAATTTCTGCTGAATTTTGTGAGTCTTTCAGACATTTTTTATTACTGGAATTGGGTATACTATAGCCTACGTCACAGAACAGCATTTTCTGCGAACCATATTTCTAGCAACAAGTAAAAGCATCAAACGAAGTGTCTTGTTATAAGTCGCTACTCGCCAGGTTGGAATTGTATTAGTCTAGTTCCTTTGGAAAAAAAGTAACTAA